GTATTCTCCTTCAAATCTGAAAGAAAATATCTGCTGAGTCTCCACAAACTTGAGCTCCTCGTGGATGTATGAAGCAAAATAAGATGGGAAAAAGCAAGAAGAGTCTCCTTTTCCAGGCAATAGGAGACTATGAAAAAGGAGGTTTTGTGTGATAAAATGTCAATAAGAAAAATCTACGATAATTAGGTAACTTGTCTACAAAATTACAAAACTTGCTGATGGTTACAAAAGAACACCTGAAAAGTCAAGTTAGAAAATTATAAAAATACAAGTACTCTTTCAATTTTTCTTTGATATACTTCTGCTCAAAATGTCATCGGTTGTAAAGGAATTCATGATCTAATTTCAGAGTAATGCAGCAAGGCAAAGGACCACAAATAGCAACAATTTGTTTTTGACAAAACAGCTAGGGAAGATGCTCACTTCTAGACATCATTACATTATTTAAAGCTTTTCTTGTTTAAATTCTTCCGATTGAATAAACAAAGCATTGGAAGCAAATTGAGGATTAATATAGAAATTCAAGACTTGGCCATTTTGTATATGTGTAGTGCTACTGAGATCATTGGAATGAGTTAGCCTATGTGTAAAATCCATATGACCCAAACATGTTGTTCCTCAACCATACATATGTAAAATCCATCAGGCTGGTGAGATGGCCCAGCTGATAGGGTACTGGCTGCCAAGGTTGATACCTGACTTTAATCCCCAGAATCCACATGGCAGAAGGAAAGAACTGACTTCCACAGTTATCCTCTGACCTCTAATGGCACACCATGGAATGCATGTCCACACTCACATAAAAATAATCCAAATAGAAAAGGTAAAATTTGAAACTATGGAAATAGAGTAGACTATGTTGCTTTAGAGTAAGAGTGTTAAAATACCCACAACATGAAACAGTCGATTTTCTCTTAATGTATTGGACTCAAACGAACCAAGTATATATGCAAAGGAGTATCTATAAGTGTGTTCCCAAAGTCATGGTTTGTTTTGCTCTAAATTGTATGTAGCATTTCCATCGACAGAGAAAGATTGATACGACAGAGATTGATTGATATTCTATGGCAGGATACTATACTATAAAATATACAAAATTCATGTGCAGTTACATGAATAGATCATGATATTTTTGAGGGGAAAAGCAGAATACACGATGAAACATGGTATAATTGTAACAAACCAGTTCAAAGAACAGAAATGGATATTACTCATGGTTCCATTTCTTGATATTAGTTGCCTTTGAGGATGTAGAAGGGTTTTATGGGAGTAGTTCCATTGATCTGTAATACTTCTTTAATAAAAGGTGAAAGCAAAGTGCTGTCAAGTCTGGTCATCAAAATTAGTTCTGAAATTTTTTAATTTAGTTGCCTGCTTTTCCTAAGGTAAGCCAGTGGGCGAAGACCTTATAGAATTGACTTTAAAATAGCATTCATGTGTTATTTGATATTTAATCCTCTACACAAACAAGCCTGATGCTTTGTTTACTGATATGGTTAGGTGTTTCCCCAAAGACTCATGTGTTGAGAGCTTGAACCCCAAAACAAGTGTTCATGGGTGATTTGATCATGATGTTCTAACATCTCCAAATGTTTAACCCACTGATGGATTCCTAGTTGATACTGGAAGGTGGAAACTGTAGAAGGTGATAACCAGTGAGAGGAAATGGTCACCTGCATACCTTCTAAGGATTCTCTTAGACAGAAAGCTGGTTCACATTCTTCAGAACATTAATTGGAATAATGAGAATCAACAGTATACAGCACTTGAGACCAGTTTTAAAATTATAAAGCACATATCTTTTTTTTGTTTGTTTTTCAAGACAGGGTTTCTCTGTGTAGCTTTGGAGCCTATCCTGGCACTTGCTCTGGAGACCAGGCTGGCCTTGAACTCCCAGAGATCTGCCTGCCTTTGCCTCCCGACTGCTGGGATTAAAGGTGTGCACCACCAATGCCCCGCTAAAGCACATATCTTTTACAGAGTTTTTTTTTTTCCTAGTTGAAAGCAGTTGAAAACCAAAAGAATAATTGATTTTAAATAGAAATGTCCAATTGCATTTGGGTTGGTTTCAAAGAGAAGGAGTCCAATTGCATTTGGGTTGGTTTCAAAGAGAAGGAAAGCTACTATGTACAATGCTAGGCTTATTTACACAGTGAGTTCCAGGCCAGCCAAGGCTACATACCAAAGGGGGGGGAATATTTAGAGCTATGCTACCCAATATATTAGTGACTATATGTAACAACTTAACTTTTATTATTTTTATTGCAGTTTATTTTTATGAGTTTTGCCTGTACATATGTCTAGGTACCACGTTTGTATACAGTGCTCACAGAGGCCAAAAGGGGGTGCTAGGTCTTTGAGAACTGGAGTTACAGAGTTATTAGTATCCATTTGGGTGCTGGGAATCGAACCTGAGTCCTCTAGAAGAGCAGACAGTCCTCTTGACATCTGAGCAATCCCTCCAGCCTCATGACAAATCTAGATTAACTGAAATTTAAACTATTTAGTCTCTCAATCACACAATCAACAATTCAAGTATCCCAAAGGCAAGTGTTACTAACAGTTAGTATCCTGGGTAGAGCAGGCTTATCTTAAACTATCAGCCCAGAAAATTTTATCAGAC